TACCTGAATCATTCCAGTACTTTAAATATTCTTAGAAAAGGGTTGATCAATATGAAAGAGTAAAAGAGGTGGGAATATATTTGGAAAATTTGTGAATAACAATTTTCCTTGAAAAGAAAAAAACTACCTAAAATGGCTTGGAAGAAACAGGGCAATTTCATTGTGAATTAATAACTCATATCAGAATGAGGGAGAGATGGATGAGTGGTTAAGACAATTACTACCAAAAAAAAAAAAAGAGGTCTAAGTTCAGATCTCAGAAACCTACATAAATTTAAAATGGGCAGAACAGTCTGCCCATATTTTTAGACTATTAGGGCAGAGACCTGGTTTTCGAGAAGCAACTCAGTTGGTAAGAATAGCCTGATTCAAAATGGGTTTGAACAAGACCATGGTTCAATGGACAAGCTGTAGAGGAAGATTTGTGACGTCAACCTCCATGTATTCACTTGCACAAACTGTATGTAGAGTACACCATAGATACATATTCAAGGAAATACATATAGAATGGAATGTTATACACTCTCTCAGTTTTCATGATGCAAATTCAACCACAAAAGAATAGGTTTCATTCCTATGAGAAGTTTTCTAAAATCACTAGTGGTTGATAGTGATATGTACATCTAACTTTGAAAGGTTTGGCATCATATTGCACAAATTTATGCGTATATAATTACATAATTTTCAGTATTCTAAAATGTCAACAATTTTGGACATAGATGAATAAATATAGAAGATCTATACCACTCAATATTTTAAGTGATTTAAAGTAATCATAACATCACATTAAAAGTTATAGACAGCACATTATTTTATATTTGAATATCTAGTGGTCCTTAATGCAAAATACGTAATATATACTTTCATTTCTTATATGTGACTTTTACTTACCTACTGAAAGTGGTTATAAGTACCTAAAAGAATGGAGCCATGGATAGAAAGAAATCATTTCACAATTTGATTGATACCACAAACTAGAAGAACATATTGAAATATGCTAAAAAAACAAAGTCAGCTCCTGAGGCTGACTTTTGTTCGAAATTTCTAAATATTTAATTTTACAAACCTAAATAATGTCACCACAAACAATAAACTTTCTCCCTCTAACCGGGATGAGAATTTTAGTCTGCTGTGATTTTCAATGTAGCTAAGTCTTGGTATATAATCAACAAAGCATATGAACCCTACAGAAACCCAAATGAGTATCATTTGGTACTGTCATAACATACTTGTTTCCTGGCAATATCAAGCTTTTCCAGTCTTCTCTATATATAGTTCCTTACAGTCTTTACACATTAGTCATTGTGTATTCTTAGGACATCAGGGATAAGATCACATTCCCCTTTGGAGTGTGATCATCAACTACATTCTACCTTGATCATCCTTACCTCTAAACTCTATCAAGAAAAAGATTTGTCATTATTTTCCACTAAGACTTTCACAGAGCAAAGCACATTCAAACATCATAAATGTCCTATGCATAAACACTTGCATAGGCTCATGCCATTCCACAAAGCTAAGATGAATACCAGAAGAGTACCTATCAACCAATGGCAAGAAGGGAAACAAGGGAATGGACAAAGGGAAGAGAAGGCCAAGATTCTCACCTGGTTGCACACAGGCTTGTACTTGAGTCCAGGCTTGTTCAGGATCATCTCCAGCTGCCTGCGGTTAAAGTTGGACACCCCAGTGGACTTGACCAATCCTGCATCCTTACACTTCTCCATGGCCTATGGAGGAAAGGACAGTCACAAAATATTTGATGGGGTTGCACACCTTCTTCATTTCTGCTACATTAAAGGCATGCACATGATCCTGTTCTTAGACAAAACAGCCCTTGAAAGTAGCTTTAGTTTTTTTATGACAAAAGGTACATTCCACTCTCACAAATGAATTGCAGCATGACTTTTTCTCTTGCTGCATTCCCCCTGTGCTCTCTAATTCAAGAACTCACCTCCCAGGTGTCACAGAAATCCACTGTGTCAAATATTAATTTTCCATGTTCATCAACTGGGAACGGATCTTCTCCTGGCTGGAAAAGAATCAATGTTAAAATAACCTTCAACAAACATATTTTCCAACCAATAGCAATGGTTCTAGGGAAAGGGACATCTGAGAACTAATTCTCCATAAGATAGATGGATCTTATTTAATACAATTCTATTTGTCATTCATTTTGGATATTAAGTTATATGAAATGCCCTTGCGTGTTAGGATTCTATTTTCTTATATCCATTATATATATTCATAAATATTGAAATATTGCATCTCTGGGTCATTATGGAGTGTCTTAGTTGACATTTATGATTATTTAGTGATGACCACATGCTGGAGTGCCAATATGAGGTCTCTTTCATGGGGACAGCTATTTCAATTACTCCCATCATTACATAGTTGCTTGTAGGGTTTTTTGTTTCTTTGTTTTAGGCTAGAGTTAAGCCCAAAGAGATTTTCTCCCTTCTGCATTATCATACCTACTGGTCCTTGTCTAGTCTTCTTTATGAGTATAGCTTGTCTGATATCTATAGAAGATGTAATATTACAGCAAAACTTCAACTTCTCTGGAACTCCCAATCATTCTGTTTCCTCCTCTACCATGATCCCTGAGCCTCAGCAGGAGTTATATTTTAGATGTGTAGAATGTATAGCTGCCACATCACTAAGCCGTTATAATCCCAAACTACATTCTAAATGAAATATTCATGGAGATTGACACAACTTACTTTCAGGGCCATTGGGTAATCAATGAGGTAAAGGTCCACATAGTGCAAATGAAGTTTCTTCAGTGACCGTTCCAAAGAAGAGCTCACCAATTCTGAGCGATGGCTATTGCACCAAAGCTATAGTTAAATATGGAATTGAGGTTGAATTAATAAATTCCAATAATTTGTTTCTTTATGTTACTTAACACAGAGACATTTTTGTACCAATTTGAAATTGATGGGCACAGGAGGAATATTCCCACTTCTTTCCAAATGTCCTTTAATCTGATATACACATGCAAATATCTTATGTGTAAATTAACCTTGAAAATTACTCAAGAACCAACATTTTAATCAAGTAATAATAATATTTCTTATCAATATTATGTTTCATTGTATTAAAAATGGACAATAAGCATATAATGTTCTTAATGAGTCCATTGGGTAAGAATCAGTGGGGGGGGGTCTGCATATGTGTGATTTTTTTTATTCAGTATATACATATGGAGGCCTCATTTGTCAATTGTATGTCATTCTTGGGTGCCTATTTCTGTGACTTGCTGCCTTTTGTAATTTTTAACTTATATTACTGCAGAGGAAATACTTTCATCATTTTGTTGTATAGTATACAGAATACAAACAGGATTCATTATGTCTTGCTTAACACTGAAAGTCTTATTTATTTGTTTATTTTTATTAATAACAGTATTTAAAATTTTCATAGTCTTGAGCACTGTTATTCAGGAGATACGCAAGGCTACTGTCTTCCATACTCCAGTTTATATCACATTCCTATCAACTGAGATGTGGAAATGAGAGGCATTAAATTTGGGAATCTATAGACAGCAATGATGAGAAAGTCATTCTCTGTGAATCAACACTGTATCCAATATGCAAATACACTTGAATAAAAGGTAAACCAGGAAGTATGACTCACTAGCCATTACTGATCTAATATATGAACATCTATTCAAACACCATGGTTCATTAACAGATGCATTAGGTAAACAGTACCTTTGATGTGAAAAATGTATCTTCCCTCCTCACAGTGCCATCAGCAATCTTGCTTCGGGTGGCTTCTCCCACATGATCTTCATTTTGATAGACAGAAGCAGTATCAAAATGACAAAAGCCAGCCTCAATGGCTATTTCCGTGATCTCCTTAGCCTTACTCACAGGAAACTGAAGAGCAACAAAAAAAAAAAGTGGCATTTATAGATAGATATGCATGATTCAGAAGATATTTGGACACAAAATGTGACTTCTCTACTATCTACTTTCCCATGCTTTTGTAGTAAATATTCCCTCTAAGATTATAATGTTCATTGTGTATGGGGTAACAAGGGTCAGGTAATCTGGGAAACTCTGTTGTTCTTGGCAATCACCGGTTAGTCATAATATAGGAGATGTCCACTAGCACCTAAAATCCAGGACTTACTACAGGTAATCATAAGGATGTTAAGCAAGATTTACTCAAGAAAATATGCTCCATTGAAAAAAAAAATTAGGTGTTGTGTCAGGAAATGGGCCTCAAAATCCAAGGCCATAAAACTGAGTTCAAAGTCCCAGAAAGACAGCTGTTTGGTGATTGCAGAAGAAAGCAGTTGCCCCTGGAACCTGGAAATAAATAAATATATAAAACTGGAGCTTGAAATAAATAAATATATAAAAGAAGCTGGTTTCAAAAACAGCTACATCAAGGAAAATAGATAAGTTCCCTAGTCTGACTCTATTGATCCTCCCTTTCCTATTTCCTATCATTAGCTACAAATATCCAGCTTAACAGACACAATCTTGAGATGGCCACTAGCACGCACAGTTTCTGAGTTGCAGATGAGCTGAACCTCCTGAGTTAATGAGCGGAAGGACTATTGAACCCAGGAAAACGATGGTGAGGCTTTCTAAAGAAGAGGGAACATCGCACAAGGTAAGAACTTAGGTCTCAGGTCACATGTGACTTGGTTGGAGAAGGAGAGAAAGGATCCTTTGATCTCCAAGCACTACCATTTCTCAGGCCTCCCTCCTCCTCCACACAGCTGGCTCACCGAGATTCTCACCTCAGAGCTTACTGCCTGGGAACTGAGGCAGGGCTTCTACCCTCTTAGCCACAACTGCCAGCTGTACCTGGCTTGGAGTCCCAGAGCCACAGTACCATCCTCCCAGGGTCCCAGGGCTGCTAGGAGCCATACTGACTCCATAGGGCCTTTCAGCCATTGACTGTATGGCCCGGCCAAACCCTTGGTGACAGATAATACACTATATACCCACCAAAGCCCAGCAGACCTGCCATACAAGCTAGGCACAACAGGCGCTAAGGCTCCCAGGCCTGGAGAGCACAGTGGAGGATCTCCAGGACTTCTCAGAAGGCATATGGACTGGCATCCCAGTCTCCAGCTGCAGCTGGACTCCCTAACCTGACAGCTGCAGCAGCACTGAGCTGGTGGAGTGCTTCAATCCTCCTGAATAAGACCAAACCAGAGAACAGAGAGCCCAGATACCCTGATCCTTGCCAATGTGACCTGCTTAAGAGTGAGTGAGCCCTTGAGTGTCTGCAGAGCCCCACGTCCAGGGTCCTTCTAAATTAGAAGCCAGGCATCGGACCCCTCCCACCCATATACCCACTGTGGGAAACAAGGGTCTCTTAGGATGTTAAAGCCCCTGCTCTACAGACACAACTGAAGAGTTAACGGTGGATAATGGCCTGAAATTGCAACTCAACTATCACCAGCAGCTGCTACATCTACAGTGCATGCAAAAGTAACCCCCTAGAAGCCTGCAAGGCAGAGCCCCTCCCATACACTCAAGGGTTCAACATTCTCTATCACTCTGTCCCTCGAGGCACACTTCCACACACACTTCCATACTCTCTCTCTCTCTCTCTCTCTCTCTCACACACACACACACATGCCTGCCCACGTTTGCATTTTCCCTTTTGCGCCCTTGGACTTTCCACCCACAGTTACAGCTAAAGCACCAACACAGACTGAGGCCACAGAACATCTCTCAGCTTCCTGAAGAATTCTCACGATGCCAGAGAGAGAGAGACAGTTCCAGTCTGAACTGCAGAATACAGAAACAAACAGGGAAGGTTATAGATAAGCCAATGGCCAGGGGTTGGAAAGGAACACATCCTACATAAATCAGGAAATCATGGCTTCACCAGCAACTCCCAAAATTGATGGAAACTCCAACTCATTGGAAGCACAGGAAAACGACATTAAAGCTATGCTTACCCAACTATTTAAGGTTCATAAAGAGGAAAAAAACAAATCTCTCAGAGCAATAGCCATACAAATTCAGACAGTTAAAGAGGAAATGAACAAATCTATCAAAGATTTGGCCAATCAATTAGAGTCAAGGAAAGAAAAAATGAACAAAATTCTCAAAGAAACATAGGTAAATATAGCCAAACAAATAGAGCACAAGTAGAGATACAATTAGTGGCACACAGAGAGTGAATGAACAAAAAAATAGAGTATATCATAGAGAGACAGGAATCCACATTCAAACAGATGAAGGAAATGATGCAAAGCATGAAAACAGAATTAGAATCAATTAAGAAAACACAAACTGAGAAAACCCTGGAGCTGGAGAAGTTAGAGAAAAGATCAGGAACCACAAAGTTAAGAATCACTAAAAGAATACAAGAGATGGAAGAGAGAATCTCTGGTGCTGAAGATACACTCTCAGAAATTGATACTTCTCTCAAAGAAAAAGTAAAATCATAAAAGTCCCAAGCACAAAATATCCAAGAAATCAAGGACGCCATGAAAAGATGAAATCTAAGAATAATAGGAATCGATGAAAAAGAAGACTCCAGGCTCCAAGGTCCACAAAATATTTTCAAGAAAACCACAGAAGAAAAATTCCCCAACTTAAAGAAAGAGATGTCCATAAACATACAAGATGCCTACAGAACACCAAACAGAATAGACCAGAAAAAAGAAAAAATCCTCACGTCACATCATTGTCAAAACATTAAATATATAGAATAAAGAAAAGATATTAAAAGCAGCAAGGAACTAGGCCAAGTAACATATACAAGTAGACCTATCAGAATCACACCGGACTTCTCAGAAATCCAGAAGGACCTGGACAGGTGTCATACAGACTTTAAGAGACCACAGATGCCAACCCAGACTACTTTACCCTGCAAAGCTTTCAATCAATATAGATGGAGAAAACAAAATAATCCATGACAAAACTAAATTTATGCAATATCTACACAACACACCAGCCCTACAGAAGATACTAGAAGGAAAACTCCAATCCAATGAAAACAACTTCACCCAAGAAAACATAGCATACAGATAATATCCCAACAAAAATTAAAAGAAAACAAGCAATGAAACACAGTAAGACCTACTCCACAATAAAAGGAACTAATGTTCATTGGTCACTATCATCTATCAATATCAATAGACATAACTCTCCAATAAAAAGACACAGACTAACAGAATGGGTGTGAAAACAGGATCCAACATTCTGCTGTATCAAAGAAACGCACCTCTGCAACAAATATAAAAACTCCCTCAGCGTAAAGGGCTAGAAAAAAGTTTTTCAAGCAAATGGACCCAGAAAAAAAGTTGGAGTAGCTATCTTAATACCTAATAAAATAGACTTTCAACCAAAATTAATCAAAAACGATGACAAGGAACAATACATTCTCATCAAAGGAAATATACACTAAGAGGACATCACAATTCTGAACATCTATGCCCCAAATACAAGAGCGCCTACATTCATAACTGAAACATTATGAAAGCTTACATCACACTTCAATCTCAAAACCTTAATAGTAGGAGTCTTCAACACTCCACTTTCACCAAGGGACAAATCATGTAGACAGAAGCCAAATAGGGAAATAAAGGCACTTACAAAAGACCCGAATCAAATGGAACTAAAAGAAGTCTATAGAACTTTCCACCCAAATTCAAAAGAGTATACCTTCTTTTCAGCACCTCATGGAACCTTCTCCAATATAAATCATATAGTTGGTCACAAAGCAAGTCTCAACAGACACAAGAAGACTGAAATAATCCCCTGTATTCTATCTGACCACCATGGACTAAAACTGGACCTCAACAAAAATGGAATTGGAAAAGAGCCTACATGCACATAGAAACTGAACAATTGCTACTCAACAACAGCTGGGTTGAGGAGGAAATAAAAAAGAAATTAAAGACTTCCTAGAATTCAGTGAAAATAAAGGTACAACATACCCTCATTTATGGGACACAATGATTGCAGAGCTCAGAATAATATTCATGGCACTAAGTGCCTTCAAGAAGAAATTGGTGACATCTCATACAAGCAACTAATGTCCCAACTGAAAGCCCTAGAAAAAAAGAAGCAGATACACCCAAGAGGAGAAGATGGCTGGAAATTCTCAAACTCAGGGCTGAAATCAATCAATTAGAAACAAATAAAACTATTCAAAGAATCAGTGAAACCAAGAGCTGATTCTTTGAGAAAATCAACAAGATAGACAAACCTTTAGCCAAACTAACTAAATGGGGGAGAGAAACTATCTAAATCATCAAAATAAAAAATGAAAAGGGGGACATAACTACAGACACCAAGGAAATCCAAACAATCATTAGGTCATATTACAAAAGCTTATATGCCACAAAATTTGAAAGTCTAAAACAAATGTACAATTTTCTTGATAGATTCCATCTACCAAAATTAAGTCAAGATCAGGTAGAAAGATTAAATAGTCTTATATCCCCCAAGGAAATAGAAGCAGTCATCAACAGTCTCCCTCCAGAAAAAAAAAAAAGAAGCCCTGGGCCAGATGGATTCAATGCAGAATTCTATCAGACCTTCAAAGAAGCGCTAACTCCAATTCTCTCTAAAGTATTCCATGTAATAGAAACAGAAGGAACATTACCAAACTCATTCTATGAAGCCACAGTCACCTTGATACCAACCCACACAAAGACACCCCCCCAAAAAAAAGAGAAATTCAGACCTATCTCTCTTATAAACATTGATGCAAAAATACCCAATAAAGTACTTGCAAACCAAATCCAAGAACACATCAAAGATATCATTCACCAAGACCAAGTAGGCTTCATCCCAGGCAGCAAAGGTGGTTCTACATACAGAAATCCATCAATGTCAACCGCCATATAAATAAACTGAAGGAGAAAAACCACATGATCATCTCCTTAGATGCTGAAAAAGCATTTGACAAAGTCCAGCACCCATTCATGTTTAAAGACTTGGAGAGATCAGAGATACAAGGCACATACCTAAACATAGTAAAGGCAATATATAGCAAGCCTATAGCCAACATCAAACTCAATGGAAAGAAACTAAAATCAATCTCACTGAAATCAGGGACAAGGTAAGGCTGCCCACTGTCTTCTTATCTCTTCAACATAGTACTTGAAGTCCTAGCTAAAGCAATAAGACAACTAAAGGAGATCAAGGGGATACAAATCGAAAAGGAAGAAGTAAAAGTTTCACTCTTTGCAGATAATATGATAGTAAAATGGGCGACCCCAAAACCAGAGAACTCCTTCAGCTGATAAACACCTTCAGAAAAATGGCTGGATACAAAAACAACCAAAAAAAATTCAGAAGCCGTCCTGTATACCCAAGACAAAAAGGCCAAGAAAGAAATCAGGGAAACAACACCCTTCACAATAGCCACTAATAACAATAAAGTACCTTCAGGTGACTCTAACCAAGCAATTGAAAGACCTGTTTGAAAAAAAAACTTTAAGTCTCTGAAGAAAGAAATTGAAGAAGATACCAGAAGATGGAGAGATCCACCATGCTCATGGAATGGTAGTATTAACATAGTGAAAATGCCCATCCTGTCAAAAGCAATCTAAAGATATAACACAATTCCCATCAAAATACCAACTCAATTCTTTACAGACCTTGAAAGAAAGATTTTAAACTTCATATGGAGAAACAAAAAACCCAGAATCTCCAAAAGGATCCTGTACAACAACAGATCGTCTGGAGGTTTCTCCATCCCCTACCTCAAACTGTACTGCAGAGCAATAGTAATAAAAACTGCATGGTATTGGCATAGAAACAGAAAGGAGGATCAATGGAACCGCATAGAAGACCCAGAAATGAACCCACACACCTATGAACACTTGATTTTTGATAAAGAATCCAAAACAATTCAATGGAAAAATGACAGCATCTTCAACAAACGGTGCTGTTCCAACTGGATGTCTAAGTGTTGAAAAATGAGAGTAGATCCATATTTATCACTCCGCATAACACTAAAGTCCAAGTGGATCAAAGAACACAACATAATACCAGATACTCCAAATCAGTTAGAAGAAACAGTGGGGAAGAGCCTAGAACTCATTGGCACAGGAGAAAACTTCCTGAACAGAATAACAACAGCAAAGGCTCTAAGAGCAAAAATCAATAAACGGGACCCCATGAAACTGAAAAGCTTCTGTATAGCAAAAAACACTGTTGTCAGAACAAAATGACAGCCTACAGACTGGGAAAGGATCTTCACCAACCCTATATCTGACAGAGGGCTATTATCCAGAATATATAAATAACTAAAGAATTTAAAAAGCAATGAATCAAGTAATCGAATTAAAAAATGGGGTACGGAGCTAAATAGACAATTCTCTGTAGAGGAATATAGAATGGCAGAAAAACACTTAAAGAGATGCTCAAGGTCCTTAGCCATCAGAAAGATGCAAATCAAAACGACCCTGAGATTTTACCTTACACCCATCAAAATGGCTAAAATCAAAAACTCAAATGACAACACATGCTGGAGAGATTGTGGGAAAAGGGGAACCCTCCTCTGTTGCTGTTGTGAATGTAAACTGGTACAACCACTTTGGAAATCAATCTGGCGCTTTCTCAGACAATTAGCAATAGCGCTTTCTCAAGACCCAGCTATACCACTCCTAGGCATATATCCAAAATTTGCTCAAGTACACAACAAGGACATTTGCTCAACTATGTTTTTAGCAGCTTTATTTGTAATAGACAGAACCTGGAAACAACCCTGATGTCCATCAATGGAGGAATGGATACAGAAATTGTGGTATCTTTACACAATGGAATACTACTCAGCAATCAAAAACTAGGAAATCATGCAGATTGATGATGATCAATCTGCACTTAGAAAAACAAATGGGTTGTGTATTGAAGGTACAAAACAAGTAACAGGACAGGAGCCTACCACAGAGGGCCTCTGAAAGACTCTGCCTAGCAGTGTATCAAAGCAGATACTAAGACTCATAAATAAACCTTTGGCAGAGTGCAGGAAATCATATGAAAAGAGGAGGAGTTATTATGATGTGGAGATAATAGGAGCTCCACAAGGACCAAGTTTATCTGGGGACATGGGTCTTTTCCAACCAAGAACCATCTATGGATATGATCTAGAACCTCTGCTGATCTAGAACCTCTGCTCGGATGTAGCCCATGGTAGCTCTGTAAGCAAGTGGTTTCCTAGTAAGGGGAACAGGAACTATTTCTGACATGAACTCAATGGCTCACCTCCCCACCCCAAGGGAGGAGCAGCCCTTCTAGGCCACAGAGGAGGACTTTGCATCCAGTCCTAAAGATACCTGATAAAACAGGGTCAGATGAAAGGGGAGGAGGTCCTCCCTTATCAGTGGACTTGGAAAGGGGCAGGGAGAGATGAGGGAGGTAGGGATTGGGAATGAGGGAGCGGGATACAGTTGGCATACAGAGTTAATAAAATGTAAATAATAATAATGATAATAATAATAATAATAAAGGCACAATCTTGTGTTCCCATGTTCTCTGGTCACTGAGTGACTGGACTCTGTCCCCATGATCAGGGAATGGCCAAAAATTGAGATTCCCCATCTCTGGCAGCAAGCAAGCCCTAGCTGTTTGGTAATTCATATTCTATCCTTTGTTCCTTCCTAAAGAGTTAATTCTTACAAATCCTTTTATCATTTATCTTCTAAGAGCTTTCTCCCAGGAAAAGCAGGTAGAACACACCAAATTTCCCAAACAATGAATTCACAAAGTGTATTCTGATGTTTAAAGCAACTGTTCAAAGATCATTATTCTTAGTTTGTTACATACAACACTTGACTTAGCATGTCTCAAAATCCTGTCTCCAAATCAAAGTATGTTTATGGGAGCCCTAGGCAGTGCAGTTGTCATTCACATATTATGAAATCTCAGTTCTTAATTTTATCAGTAAAATCACTACACATTTGATAACCTGTTCTGCTAACTACTCTGGACATTATTCTCAGTTCTTTTGGATTCTTCAGGTACTCCCAATCTTATCTTGCCTTTCATTATATTTTCCCCCACAAGTTAAAGATTTCTTGTCTTTGTTCTTCATTATTTTGGGCACTTTGTCATTTTTTAAAAAAAACATCTTGAGTCCATTGAGAGAGTCAACAGGTTAAGTGCTTATCAACAAACCTGATAACTGTTTTTCAGTGCCTGAGACCCATATGTTGGAAAGGAACATAGATCTGTTGCTATTTGTCCTCCACAAGGTTATTCATGCATGAACATATTAGGGTGTGAGGGGAGGGGAAAAGAAGTGAGGTAAGGGCAGAAGAAGAGAAAAAAAGAGAATAAAAAAGGATGAAGAGAACAAACAAATAAAATTAAAATATTAATTTCACAGAACAAAAAGTGAACACAAAGTTTTGGGAACTAATCCCTAGACACACATTTCGGCTAAGCATATTACCAGAAAACTGCTTTCATTCCAGGTAGGTGAACTGTTGTCTACACTTTCATTGCAAAGAATTGTTTGTACCAATAAGCATTAAATCCAACATGTTTAAATATAGACAAATTATGTCTAAATGCCCCAAGTTCCTCGTTTCTGCTAGGTAATTCTTCCATGTTTATTTAGAGTTAACAGAGTTTTTTTTTGCAACCAAAGTCAGCAATAACAGCACTGGAAATGCTGAGGGCACTTAAAAGAACAAGGCTAGATTGTTTGCAGAGAGATAATCTTATGAAACATTAACCATGACAAATATCATACATGGGACATATACTTAGTTCATACTCTATAATTAAAATGAAATTTTAAGTCAAACTCAAAGCAAAGCACCAGAATACAATGGCTCATCCAAGAAACTTTATTGTAGAAATATCTTTACTAATTGGCTTTCTAAAAGTGTAAATTATCCCCAGGAAGTGAGTTACTTTACAAGTCAGATAAACTTAAACACATTCTAGTTGTGTTTTTACCTCAACCCCACATCACAGGTTTTACATCTAGTGGTACAGCAGTACCAAAGCCCAACACAGGAATGAAACGACCATCATTTAGTTCCACGCGTTGACATTTGGAGTCCATGGTCTATCACTCTTCAAGGGAAGCCTGCCCTGGTTGATGTTCACCCTCACAGTGAATTTAAATAATGGCAGTTCCTCCTCTGCTTTCCTGGCTAAAAAGTAGTCCAAGTCATGAGGGAGGAGTTAAACTGATTTCTTCAAGTGATGATGAAAAGATATTTGGATAACTTATTTCTAACAAAGAGAATTCTTGTCTTTCCTTTTATTGAAAATAGATTTTTATGCAATTAATAGTGATTATTTTTTATCTTTTTTCTTTCCAATTATTTTATTCTTTTTTATTTTTAATTATACTTTATTTACTTTGTAGCCCCCCTCAAGTTCCCTCCCTTCTCCCCTCCCAATCTCTCCCTTCCTCCCCCTTCACTACACACTCCCCTCCCCAAGTCCACTAGTAGGGAGGGTTTCTTTTTCTTCCTTCTGATCCTAGTCTGTTAGGTCTCATCAGGAGTGGCTGCATTGTCTTCCTCTGTGGCTTGGTAAGGCTGTTCTCTCATCAGGGGGAGGTGATTCCCTCAGGGACATCAGGGTCCCTGTGCCCATTGCTATGGAACCCACTTGAACACTGAACTGCCATGGGCTACATCTGTGCAGGGGTTCTAGGTTATCTCCCTGCATGGTACTTGCTTGGAGTATGAGTATCAGGAAAGAACCCTGTGCTGAGATTTTTGGTTCTGTTGCTCTCCTTGTAGAGCTCCTGTCCAATCAAGATCTTAATATTACCTCTGACATGGTTGGACTTTTCTCCAGTACATTGCTGATTTATTTTCTTCCACTTTTTCTAACCTTTTCATACATATTGATTTGTGACAATGCAATCTTAGCAAAGTGTTTCCTACCATCTAAGAAAGTAGAACTGTGGGGGACCACAGAGTCAAAGTTAATAACACTACTTTGTATCACTTAAAGACTTGAAACTGTGAACTAACTATGTACTTAGCATGTTTATTTAGTTTATTTACATTCTTAAAAAAGAGATTAATATAATAATCAACTTTACCTGACTTGATTTTTCCCATGTAATCAACTTTTGCCACATAATATACCTTTACCTATGTACTCATCCATGCATCTGAACTAGATAATGTAGGTATATCATTTGCTGAAAACAGGAATTCTGGAAGGTGAAAAAAATAAATATTTGAAAGGAACATTAATATTTATAGATATTTGTTGATAAATACTGATGTTTGTTATCTGAGGCTGGTGGAATCAGTTGGAGACATTAACCCAATCCCATGTGAAACTATGTTAAATATTTTGTAATGTATCAAATCCCTTACCCATGACATGTTTTCTGTGCTGTTCAATAAAAAGAGTGTATCCCTCTGATAGGGACAGAAGAGATAGAAGATGACATACACAGAGATACACTCCAGATATATACACAGTGTCACCGCAGGCACACATAGCCAGAATAGATGAAACACAGGGACAGACTCAGCTTCAGACAGGCTCCATTCAGACTCAAACAACAGCAGCAGGTAAACGACAAAGGGAGCATGGAGTAGAGAACTCAAAGCTGAACTCAGTGTTGGTTAAATGACTCCAAGCAGAACTGCTTTTATTTCTTCCCTTCACATGAAACTGATGCATTATTGGTAACTCAGATTAATATCTGATAAGTCTAATCCACAGTCATTATTCCTTCCATCTGCAGATTGTTTTTCTCCATATTGCTACCGTTGTGCTCCATGCCTCAGAGTGAATTCACCTGTTCTTTGTCTCCTCCTTCACAAAGTGATCCTTATTACCAGAACAGCTTCAGTCTTTCTCTGGCATTTTACCAATTACAGTATCTGCATGTTCAGTAGTTAAGAAGTTGTTATTCTTAGAAGGGTCATGATGCCCTGATGTTCCTGTTTTTTGTGCAAAGTTGTTTTTGTAAGAATCATGATGTCTTGTTTTTCTTGCTTCTTGCATTTGTGTGGTGCAAGATTTGTTTTTATTTTGTGTATGTTTTGTTGCCAGTTCCAGTGGGAGAAAACAAAGTGTTCTATCAGCAACCACATCAAGCCAAATGAGTTGCAGAAGCACATTTAAAGTTACCCATGGCCCATTACTTCATCAGCAGTGACTCCTAAAATGGGATTGCAAGATTGTTGCATAATATGCTCTATAATTAAAATTTATATAGGATAAATGAAGAGATATTAAGTGATCAGGTGAAGAAAATGAAATAGGGGAAAGAGGATAGGCAATGTTAAAAATAAGCCAGAGTAGAGCAGAAAATGTGGAGAAGAATTTTATCAAAGGGAAGAAGTGCAGAAAATTGGAATATAAAAAAAATGAGTAAAAAGTAAATTACTGCAACAAGTTTAAAACAAGATGAAATAAATATAAAAGGCAGAATTAAAAGTTAACAACAAGCAATAACAAAAAGTGAAAATATTTGGTAAAGGTAGAAAAGCAAAAACAAAACTAATGAGAAGTCATATTATTCCTAAAAGAAAAGCATGTTTATCTGAAATCAAAGCTAGATGATTATAAAACAATAAAAAGAAGAAGCATAATTTTAATACCCAATAGAGAAAAAATACCTTGCTAAATGCATGGTTCAAAACAAAAATAAGAAAATGTGAGCAGAAAGTAAAAAAAAAAAAAAAAAAACAATGGAGGTTGGAGCAGAGGTTCTCAGATACTGGAAATTGCCATTTATGTACATGGTGATGAGCAGTTTAATTAATAAAATCCTGTCTGTCCTTGGATTTACACTGTTGCTATGACTGTATTCAGTGAGTGACCAGTGTCCGTCAGAGATGTCATCCCTGTTGCAGTTCCCATTCTTTGTGTATCAGGGACTGCTGAAGATCACGCTTAGCTCATCATCTTTGTCTGGAGCTCTTATATCACACTGCTGAAAATCCTCAGATTAAAAGCCTTGGGATAGATAATATTTCAGCTGCATGATCTTTTCAACTTGTGTTAGAAGTGTGAGAAGTAACCACAGCATGGAAACTAGCAAAACAAAGGATATAGTTTCATAATTTAAGACTTGCTGAGTTTTAATCATTCTCCTGAAGTGATGTACTGTGGATTTTAGGTTCAACACTAGCTTCAAAGTTTGGGGGTATTATAAATGTGAACAATAGCAGGTAGATAAACAATTTGAGTCAATGTTCACCTCAGGTACCAAACTATCAAACTCCGTGTTATTCTCACTTACTGAGATAAGTCTCCAGCCACCGAGACTGCTTATACTCTTTCCAGCCTGCAATGAGCTTCTTGGTACAAGGATCTTTTAGCTTGCCAGCTATGGAGGTCTGAGTCTTCCCATCTGCCTATTGGATCACTCTGTAGCCAAACTAAAGTGCCTTGGCAATGCACTTTATTTCATGATCTCAAGCCTCCAGCTTAGCTCAGCTTTTAGTGACTTAACTTCTTTCAACACAGCAGATGACCACTGCCTTCTGAGTCAAAGAATAGAGGAAAATGGAGTGTCTCTCAACTGCTGACCAGACTGTCTGGAGGAACACTGTCTCACCTAAACCCTCAACTGCATTGAGGTTTCTGAGTGCTAGAGATTATTCCTGAGGAGAACAGTGCCCATTTTCAGTCAGATTCAGTTTTGAAGGTTCTTTTACTCCCCCACCCCCAAATTGGAACCTGTTTAACAGAGAATATATGGATTTTCTTTGTTTTTCTTTTGTGGGCTTTTTTTTTTAAAGTGGCATTGTTTCCCTTAGACCAGATGTATATTAAACTCACTATGTAACTGAGGCAACCTTTGTCTCATGGCCTCTCCTTCTACCTCTCAGTACAGGGATTACAAACTTGCGCCACTCTGTGCTTTTCACACAGTGCTGAGGAATGAACCCTGAGCATGTTGCATACTAGGCCAGCTGAACACCAACCAAGACACACACCAAGCTCCCTTTGTAAATTTTCAATACCCTTGGTCAAGTTTTGAAATATGGTTTGCTTTTTCTAATTCTGACACTCTCCTTCAGCAGCTCACACAGAAACAGGCCTCAGCACGCAACCATATACAGAATACACTATGTTTTTTTTTTAAGAGTTATACATCCAAATTTCACTTACAGCTTTGAAAATATAATCAAAATAACTTGTTTAAAAGAATTTATTGGACTTGGTATACGGAAGTCCAAAACAGCAGTCCTTAGTACCCTCACTTCTCTGCAGAAATGTGTCCTTTGTTTTGTTAGTGTGGAACTGCATGTTTGACTGATTTTGACTTAGGATTTTGACGGTGGGAAATAAGACCTTAGGAGACAGATAGGTCAGTGTTGACTCAAAACACTGGTGTGTTAATCTCCTGGATATTTAGTCATTCACAGAAAATGTGCAAATGACACATTCTCCTTCTCACTACTGCCCTAGAACCACAGCAGCATGTTCACAGTAATAAATAACCTCCTTCAACACTGTGACTCATTGTTGAGTAGTACCACAGTGCTGTAACTCACTCTTATTGAGTAAGACTGGAATGTTTCCCAATAGTAAAGTTCATGTGAGAAAAAAATGTGAACTATGTTATACACTAGTGTTTAAAAAAAGAGTTTATTAACTTGTAATAAAATAGATACAGGAGAAGAGAGAAAATCGGAATCATAAAGACACTCATCAAAACTTCGTATCTAAATTGCCTTATAAATATCAATGTCTTTGATCCACTTGGAATTCATATTTGTGCAGGTGGCCATTAAAGAAGCTTCTTTCTATAGCATATTATAGACCTTCACAACTGGCCTCAATGTAAAGACTGATTGATTGCAGGAGACCAGCCCCAATAGATACATCTTCAGAATATCTTCTGCATGTTAGGCTCAGGGAATTCTTTGAGAAGGGGAAAACGTCTAACAGCCAAAATACCAGGAAGTCTGTCTCCTGACTGCCTCTATTAGAATGGGCTGCACAAACAAGACTCTATGGATTCCACTACTGCGAACTGAATAGACTTGATAACATGGAAGGGGGAAATCTCATAGAAGCCCTCTCTAGATAAAGAACTGCACACAACTAACAACTGCCAAGAAAGGA